TGTGTGTGTGTGTGTGTGGGTGTGTGTGTGGGTGTGTGTGTGTGTGTGTGGGTGTGTGTGTGGGGGTGTGTGTGTGTGTGTGTGTGTGTGTGTGGGTGTGTGTGTGGTCAGAGCATCCAGAGAAAGAGGGAGACAGATGGGTCACACAGCGTTCCCTCTGTGGTTGTGGAGCTGGAACACGGCTAATTACATCTTAATTAAATATGACCTGCCCCTCCCTGCGCCTCCTCGTCCATGAATGACACGTGAGCGTTTGTGGGTGTGACAGGAAGAGCACTGGTGCAGGAGTTTTAACATATAGGCCTCTGTGCACTTTTGGGGTCTTTGGTGTTTGTGTGTGTGTGTAAAAATAAAAATGTCCATAAATGAATAAAAGACTTCACTATGTTTGTCTCACACTGGATGTTTCTCAGTTATTCCACCTCCCTGTTTCTGAATCACTTGATTTGGAGCGACAGTGAATCCAAGTCTAATTTACATATATACATGATATCAATGATAATATAAAACAGTTAGCTAAAATATGTTTGAATAGATGGTGGTGTCGCCTGAAACACGACTCTAAGACACGTCAGCTGGTTTAACTGAACTGCACTGATATAAAACAACAGAGTAAATACAGTGTGTGAAGAACAAACTATTGAGTTTCAGTTTGACCTTGTTACTTGCACAACCTGGTTTCCTGATTTGTGTGTCATTTTACATCAGCTCAGTTTGCTTAAACACACACACACATACACACACACTGAAGACTGACCGTTGTTGGAGCGTAGGGCCCTGGCGGAGATGCCGTTGGTCCCTATTGGATGATGAACCCCAGTTCCGTCCACTGCTCCTGCCTCCCCCGGCTGCTTCAAAAGCTCCGTCAGAGTCCTGGAGGGGGGGAAGAAAAACACACATTTACAGCATCCTGCATGCAAACTGAAAAGTATCTACACATAGGAAAGAGAAGAAGAGTGTGGTGTCAGGCAAGTGAGTGAAAGTTACTGCTTAAACAAAGAGGGCTGAAGGGAGAGTGTTAGAAATATTGTGATGGGAAAGAGCTGCGACAGAGTGAGAAAGATGATAAAAGACGCACATATTAATGTGGATATAATATGAAAATCCATTATTAAAAATATCCAACCAGCCCTGATCTTAATAGTGCTACCTGAGGATAAAGGATAAAGTTTGAAACAAGACTGTTCATGTCTATAAAAACAAACTCAGACAGAAAACGCTGTGAATTAAATTCAAGGCAGTGGAATCGACGATGAAAGGCATGAGTCTCTGGGTGTTTGCCAACTGGGCACGTCAGTCATTTATAAGAAATAAAACAACTTCCCATCTTTTATTGTTTGATGCCTTTGAACAAGTTCTGATGCCTCCTCAAAACTGGAACACAGACAGGAAACAGCCTTCTAGCATGTAGACTTAACTCTTCAGGAGAACACAGAACCTGCAGCTGTAAACAACAACTTGGACTGTGGTTTCTATCAGACAGAACGAAATTGATTGATGTTATTCTACTTAAATGTTTTAAAACATTTAGCACAGTGATTCCTAAGCATGGGTTTAGTTATAGTCGCCAGAGTTCATGAAAACTAGCAAACAGGCAGAGAACGCTACATTACCCATGTTAGCTAAATTAAATAATTGAAACAGTAAACTAAAAGCAATGCATAAATTATTAACATAGATCACTAAAGCTAATGGATATAATAAACAAAAATATAGCTAAAGACAAGGGCAAAGAGATGAAATAGCTGAAAGTAATGGTTAATCAATTAAAAGTAAAAAATAAAAATCAATGAATAAATTAATGATTAAATATTTTATAAATGTAAGAGTAGAGGAATTTGTTGCTGTGTGGAGTGCAGGTAACAAAAAACAGTGAGGACGTAAGTTTATGTATGAATGGTAGGAACATGTCCCTACCCATATGTTTGCAGTACAGAATTGTCGCTACCAATATTTGAGTGAACTCGCTCGCACTAGTAAGCTAACCCTGTCTTCTGTCTTCTGGGAGCTAGCAGTCAGGTTGCTAGCTGGAGGAAATATAAAATGGTGAAGTATGAGTTTAATTTCTGTTGAAAAATCCCATGAAAATGTCACCATGAATACTGTCGTTTCTATGACATGTTTAATTCATTTTCTGCCTTACTTTACTATGACATTTTTATGACTTTTAATGCATTAAAATACTATGACATTTTTATATTTTATGCCTTACTATACTATGACATTTTTTTTTTACATTTTATGCCTTACTATACTATTACTTTTTTTTGTTTTACATTTTATGCCATACTATACTATTACATTTTTTTGACATTTTATGCCTTACTATACTATGACTTTTTATGCCTTACTATATTGTGACATTTTTTATATCTTATGCCTTACTATACTATGACATTTTATGCCTTACTATATATATTATGTCGTTTTTATGCCTTACTATACTATGACATCTTTTATGACATTTTTTGCCTAACTTTACTATGACATTTTTTTTTACATTTTATGCCTTACTATACTATTACATTTTTATGACATTTTATGCCTTACTATACTATGACATTTTTTATGACATTTTATGCCTTACTCTACTATGACAATTTTTATGACATTTTATGCCTTACTATACTATGACATTTTTATGACTTTTTATGCCTTACTATACTATGACATTTTTGTGAGTTTTTCTGCCATACTATACTATGACATTTTTGTGAGTTTTATGACTTACTATACTGTGACATTTTTATATTGTATGCCTTACAATACTATGACATTTTATGTCTTACTATTATATGACTTTTTCTGCCATACTATACTATGACTTTTTATGCCTTACTATACTATGACATTTTTTTGACATTTTATGCCTTACTATACTATGACATTTTTTTGACATTTTATGCCTTACTATACTATGACATTTTTTTGACATTTTATGCCTTACTATACTATGACATTTTTTTGACATTTTATGCCTTACTATACTATGACATTTTTTTGACATTTTATGCCTTACTATACTATGACATTTTTTTGACATTTTATGCCTTACTATACTATGACATTTTTTTGACATTTTATGCCTTACTATACTATGACATTTTTTTGACATTTTATGCCTTACTATACTATGACATTTTTTATGACATTTTATGCCTTAATATACTATTACATTTCTTTTTACATTTTATGCCTTACTATACTATTACATTTTTATGACATTTTATGCCTTACTATAAAATGACATTTTTTGACATTTTATGCCTTACTATACTATGACATTTTATGCCTTACTATAACTATGTCGTTTTTATGCCTTACTATACTATGACATTTTTATTAAATTTTATGCCTTACTATACTATGACATTTTTTATGACATTTTATGCCTTACTCTACTATGACAATTTTTAAGACATTTTATGCCTTACTATACTATGACATTTTTTTTTTTACATTTTATGCCTTACTATACTATGACATTTTATGCCTTACTATACAATGACATTTTTTGCCTTACTATACTATGACATTTTTGTGAGTTTTTCTGCCTTACTATACTATGATATTTTTTTTGACATTTTATGCCTTACTATACTGTGACATTTTTTTTGACATTTTATGCCTTACTATACTATGACATTTTATGCCTTACTATATTATGACATTTTTATTAAATTTTATGTCTTACTATACTATGACATTTTTTATGACATTTTATGCCTAACTATACTATGACATTTTTTATGACATTTTATGCCTTACTATACTATGACATTTTATGCCTTACTATAACTATGTTGTTTTTATGCCTTACTATACTATGACATTTTTATTAAATTTTATGCCTTACTATACTATGACATTTTATGCCTTACTATACTATGACATTTTTTATGACATTTTATGCCTTACTATACTATGACATTTTTTTGACATTTTATGCCTTACTATACTATGACATTTTATGCCTTACTATACTATGACATTTTTTGCCTCACTATACTATGACAATTTTTATGACATTTTATGCCTTACTCTACTATGACAATTTTTATGAGTTTTTATGCCTTACTATACTGTGACATTTTTATTAAATTTTATGCCCTACTATACTATGACATTTTTTTTGACATTTTATGCCTTACTATACTATGACATTTTTTTTGACATTTTACGCCTTACTATACTATGACATTTTTTTTGACATTTTATGCCTTACTATACTACGACTTTTTTTTGACATTTTATGCCTTACTATACTATGACATTTCATGCCTTACTATAACTATGTTGTTTTTATGCCTTACTATACTATGACATTTTTATTAAATTTTATGCCTTACTATACTATGACATTTTTTTTGACATTTTATGCCTTACTATACTATGACATTTTTTTTACATTTTTTGCCTTACTATACTGACATTTTTTATGACATTTTATGCCTTAATATACTATTACATTTCTTTTTACATTTTATGCCTTACTATACTATTACATTTTTATGACATTTTATGCCTTACTATACTATTACATTTTTATGACATTTTATGCCTTACTATACTATGACATTTTTTATGACATTTTATGCCTTACTATACTATGACATTTTATGCCCTACTATACTATGACATTTTTTTTTACATTTTATGCCTTACTATACTATGACATTTTATGCCTTACTATAACTATGTCGTTTTTATGCCTTACTATACTATGACATTTTTATTAAATTTTATGCCTTACTATACTGTGACATTTTTTTTTTACATTTTATGCCTTACTATACTATGACATTTTTT